ATGTGTCTATATCACCCTATGAGCTCACAGCTCGCACAGGGATGAGGTTTGCTCACTGCTGGACTTCGTATATGTGGTTTCAGTGCAGGAGGCGTAACCGGCGAGCTGTTCTGAGAACGGATTCGACACTTAAAAGAACTGCGAAGCAAAGAAGGCGGCGTTCGGAAGATATTGTGAGCGGCACCTGTTCGGAAGCTTTGGGATAATTCTATCCAGAAACCCCGGTTGCAGACGGAAACCTCGTCTTATTCGGAAGCTCTCAGATAATTGGACGTTCTGGGGTTTCTGTGAAGCAAAGAAGACGGCGTTCGGGAGATATTGTTTCCGGCAGCTGTTCGGAAGCTTTGGGATAATTTTATTCAGGAACCCGGTTGCAAACAGAAACCCCCTCATATTCGGAAGCTCTTAAATTATTGAACGTTCGGGGGTTTCTGTCTGATTCGGGCCTCCGGCCGAAACCGAACAACACCATTCGCCTTACAAGTCGCGTCGAAAAATGTTTTCGAGGTGTCTTCGTGTCTCTCATCCCACAGTACTAAGTATGAATCAAGCTTCACAGGATATTGGGAGCGGCACCTGTTCGGAAGCTTTGGGATAATTCTATCCAGAAACCCCGGTTGCAGACGGAAACCTCCTCTTATTCGGAAGCTCTCAGATGATTGGACGTTCTGGGGTTTCTGTGAAGCAAAGAAGACGGCGTTCGGGAGATATTGTTTCCGGCAGCTATTCGGAAGCTTTGAGATAATTTTATTCAGGAACCCGGTTGCAAACAGAAACCCCCTCATATTCGGAAGCTCTTAAATTATTGAACGTTCGGGGGCTTCTGTCTGATTCGGGCCTCCGGCCGAAACCGAACAACACCATTCGCCTTACAAGTCGCGTCGAAAAATGTTTTCGAGGTGTCTTCGTGTCTCTCATCCCACAGTACTAAGCATGAATCAAGCTTCACAGTGAGGGCTGCCGATTGTTGGCGTTAAGACCCGGTGCCGCTTCGCCGGAAATTAGCCCTCGGCATGGTCACGGCACGGCTACCCGTCGGTTTCCATTGCCTCGAAACCAACTGCCAGAAAAAAAACAGCTAGTTACGGGTGAATGATGCGGATTTTTGATCCAGTCAAATACTCTGAAAATACGATGCAGGGATCAGGAAACTGTGAGCCGGGCGAAGCTGAGAGGGCTGCCGAAAGTGACGAGTCATGAGTTCCCTTTTTACCTTCAAACCATCTTCCGCTCGCGTCTCTACGACAGGCCGTGTATAGCCTCTGGAGACTCTCTTAATTCAACTGTTCAAGTGTTCAGCTGGATACCCACATCGTGGCTGTCGCGGGCACGCTGATAACCACCTTCTCACATCGATGGAGTCTGGAAATATGTACACATACCGCTCGATGGGCCCTTGCGCGCCGCTAGATTGACTCGATTTGTTTAAAACTACGCCTTGTTCACGGTCACAAATCCACTGGTCCGAATTAGGTAGGTCCCAGCAGGGACCTCCGGCCGCAGAAACCTGGGTTTCTGCATAGAAACTGTTTCTGGAGGGGGTTGCTGTCTGCAACCGGAGTTTCTGAATATAATCATCTGAAGCTTTGTGTTCGCCTGGTGGGAATATCAATCGGATTGGAGGAGCTATTTTTTTTCGTTTCATCTAGACATATGGGGCATACTCGGCTGAGTCTGGGTTCATGACCGATACATCCTTTCTCACTCTATATAAATTTGTGTGTGTCCTTCCGAAGCTTTTAGACTGCGCTTATGGATCTTTCGCATCAGAACTGTGGAAGAGCGTTTAAGCTGCTCAATAAACTATCTGGGAAGCGGAACCAGTTGAGGCTCAGCACTGCCTTATTACGTTTTCGTGCGTCATCGATCCATGTTTTGGCTGCTCCCAAGTAGCGGTTATCTTTCCAATAAGCTCATACATATCCCAGATGTTTTCAAAATATCTCCTGTCTCTATGAATGAAACAATAGTTTCGCGACGGCAGATCTGGAGAAGGCGGTGTTCGTGTGCGTGAGCGTCGAATCTAGATTGATGGGGCGGATGATGTGGCGCTTTGGCGATGCCAACAGCCAGCTGGCACCGAGGCTTCCGTATAATTATTACTCGTATCTTAAGCAGATACCCTGATTTCATTTGTACATGTTTGTCTCCTTCCTGGCTTATCGTTTTCTTCCCGTCCACTTGGCTACTAGCTCCAAAACCACTTTCTCGGTTGCCTCAAGGCCTTACTTCCCACGTTTAATTTGAACATCACGAATTAACTTCAACTTTCCCCTGTCTGTGCTACTGTGCAGCTCCATTCGCGCGCTCAAGCCCCAATCAAAAGGGTGGCGTCCGTCGAGTCACCAGGCTTTTGCGTTCCTTCCCCATCACCATCCCGCTGTCCCCTGTTCTCCCATTCCCGATACGGTGTTTCAAGAGCAGGCCCTACTTTAATAAAACCCCCTACAAGACCTCGCCTCTTATCTCGGAACTGCTCTGGGCCACTCGTCAAGCCTCAACTCGTGATGGAGCCGGGTTTTCGGGCAGGCGCAAAACTTCTCAAAATTGGGACGTAATGACCCCTCATGACAACTGCAAGACCTCGGGATAGTTGGACAATTCCTCAATCGGACTATACAATCAAGTCATTGCGCAAGACTTCTCAAGTTTTGACTGTGCTGAAACATTCCTCAAGCATCATCAAGATCACCTAGGGCAACGACTTGAATTACTGAGCGCTGTACTTCCTCGATTTTGGTCGCGTCCATCGCGCTCCCCATGATCCTCACACCCCCCAATCTTTCCTCTCGAAGCACTGATATCTCAGATTCTGTGACCTAAGTCGAATCTCGCTGATACATTTTGGAGATGACAGATTCGATCCATTGTATTCCACCCCGTCCTGAGATATACGACCTCTCCATCGGCGAAAGGCTCCCCTGATTTCGCGTACGTTTTGAATGTTTCATTATTTATCGGAAGTTCCAACCTATCACTTACGCTGCCATTTTAGCACCCCAGGATTGCCGTACCTCCGTCTCTGGTGTGTTTTTCGAAACGGCCGCGACTGTCCAAAGCGTTACATGCGTCCTCTATTGCAATGTACGTCACTGACTTCGGCATCGATATAGGCCGCTGACTTTAGGAATGGAAGCATTGAATATCGACGCCTGCCGGATCGCGCAGTCGGAGTCTCTCTTGACCCATCTTATTCCCAGGTCGGTTGCCCCCAATTCATACCATTTGTACAGATGATCAGTCCGCAGACAGGATAATCATCCACTCTCAGCCCGGTACTCCACTCCTGTAGGTCACGCCCACCTCCCACACGTCGAGGGTATGTAGTTCTTCCAATTCGAGAGATAGACGACGTATGCTTGATTATGAGGTACACGTCATCTCCACAGTCTAATGCATCCTTTTAACTGTAGGCTGGTACCAGCATTACTTTTGTTCATCGGCTTAGAATGAATGGTTAGTTTTTGTAACAAAGTGAATCGATGTAGTTGGGCCTTCATTCATTCGCTCCGGCCCGTCTTGTACCGTATAAAGCGGGTAAGGCCGACGAGCGGCAAGGCCCGCTGCCAAATATAACAACAGATTCTGACCAGAAACGGAAACTTACTGTAATTGAGTTCATAAATAATGCACTTTTGCGAAAGAGACGGAGGATTTTATTCTTCAAGGATTGCGGTACAAGTTGTGGTCAGGATCAGTTGAATCTGTTGTTAATTTGGTTGCTTCCCCCTCTGAGCCAAGTTGAGAACAACCAGAATTGCTCACGCTTGTCTTCAATATTCCAACTCCCCGGATGCTGTTTTCCATGCACTCTTCTGACTTTTTGGGATAGTCAACACATATTTTACCTCTTAGAAGTGCTGCCAGTTCTTGTTATTTTTCTCCCAACAGATGTTGAGTTGAGGAGTATTTAGAAGTATCCAACGGGCTGACCTTGTACAATGCGTGAGGAAAATTCCAGGGAAACAATTGTTTTTAGCCACAAAATATCCCTCCGACTGGATAATTTTCAAGACAGGAAGGAGAGGTTGAATATTCCCGAGATGCCCGAGGTGGATTCGACAACACTTATAACAATCATTTGATTTGATTTCATGGGTTATCGTACCTGGCTACGGATAGCTATCATGACAGTACTTCTACAAGGGTACTTTAAAAAGGCCTTTATAATCTGAGAGACGGAGAGAAGTAAAAGTAGGATAACGTGCGGGGAATCTGTGGTGCTGCTTCCATGCGCATCGTTGATACGGACAACGGTTATGAGTGCACTAGGACCTAGGAGCATGGAGCACGCGGAGCGGACAAGGATGACGAGACTGGGGAAGGCCGGATGGGGGGCGCGTAGCTGAGGGTGGGTAGCGTATGACGCGCTGAGCGGGTTGGAAGCGCTTGGCAGAATTTGGGTGTTCTACTAGCGGGAAGATCCAGCGCGCACGTGGGCTACAGGATTACACGGAGAAAGCTAGATTCAGAGTGTTGCGCGATCCGTCCACGAGGAGCCACTGGATTCACAGCGGCCTCGTTCGGACGGTGGAGGTTAGCGGAAGGAGAGAACAGCTGAACCACGTGGTGGGGGATGATGAGTGATCCGTGTCTTTGCTCTTTGTCACCTTCTCTGCTCGCTGACAGACTTTGCTGTGCTGCTCTGCTCTCTGAGATTCCGTGCGTTGCTAGCTCTCTCTTGCAACCCTACGGCCGCCCATCTACATCTCTGCAATCAGATGTCTCAGCAATCCAATTTTACGATGCAGGGTACTTATCGCACGGATCCCCTGCTCATTCTACTACAGTAATCTGGGTTCTGATCTCGTTGGCCTGTTCGTCTACTTGTTCGAGACTCGAATACTACCTTGCCGCACGAACCGCAATCCGCGAATACCGGCCAGGTAACATGTCAATGATACGCAGACTTCTTGAATGGCACAGATTCTCCGTGCGATTCACCTATTTTCTTCCTTCAAATTGCCCCCATATCCCAATGCTATCCTCCACAGAAGGAAGGTCCAATTGTGGAGTGGACCACGCTTGCATTCCCTGACAGTTGTTCATAATATGCAGCAGACGCCCGTTCGATTCGGGCTTGGACCGTGTGTTTGGAGTCGATGTCGATGTTTTTCTCTTTTTTATTGACCACTCGTTAGGTTCATACCCCAGCGTTGGAATGTATGGTCTCTTTTGGTGCCCGTGCCAGCATTACACGAAAGATTTCAGCATCCATACCCTGCAGGTTGCCCGTTTGACTCAGGCTTGGACCATGGGGAGGGGAAAGTTTTTCTCCTCGTGTGTGTGGCTTGAATAGCGAGATCTCGTTGAATCAGCTCGTATTGAAATTGTCTCACTTACTGCGCTTGCGGGTTCTCACCCCCAGTGGTGTGTGTCGCCCGCTTTCGACATCATCTCCCAAACGTGAGTTTCAATAAACTAGAGCCCATTTCATACTCTTCCACCTGTTCACGCTACATGCCACTGTACCCAGGTCCAATTGCGGAGTGGCCTGCCCCTTCATCATATGTGCATGGAAGCGGAAGCATATGCAGGAGACCCCCGTTCGACTTGGGCTTGGACCATGAGATGATCGACGGAATTTTCTTTTTGGATCGGTGGTGCTACTCATCGGGGGCTGATTCATTCACGCGAGTGGGTGAGCGAGCTCTTGTGCGCGTCGCTCGTATGGCTCAATTTGATTAGTCGCGTTCGCGGGATGTTATTGTATTTCCTGATAATCTCTATTTACCTTCGGTTTATACTTTTGAACCTGCATGCACCAGGATTCTCCCATCCCTCCAGGTTTCATTTCACAATGTTAAGGTCCAAGTGCGGAGTGGCCCGCGCCTGCATCCTATGGCAATTCGGCTCGGACTTGGACCATGGCTCAGTCTCAATGCAATTTTGCTTCACGACTGCAGAATCCACCAGGGTACCTCATTCTCGTTCTTTTTATTAACCCCACTCACAGATTCTCATCCCGGGGGTTGGATGTCCTGGGGAGTACTTCTCTTCGCTTTCGGTTCGTTAGTTTGAGCTTCCAGTTATCATCCTCCGCAACTGGCCTCGCTCCACTTGAGTTAGGAGGAAGCTCCACCTCTGGAGTGGCCCTCATTTGTTTTTCATAAGACAGTCATGCACATAGTATGCGGGAGACGCCCGTACAACTCGAGCTCTGATCCTTCGTGGCTCCAGATTTTGGGGGAGTGGGTGACGCCCGTTCGACTCGGGCTTGGATCATGAGGGATTACAATGCCATCTTTTTCTTACTCCCCACCACCGATACCTGCCACACCTGCTGCCGAAGGAAACGCAGTGAGATGCTTTCTTTACACAACTTCTAAAATCATCCGATACATATCTAACCCAAGCCTTCCGACTCACCGGCCAGAATAGATTCAGGAGACCTCCCGAGTCGCGGAAAATCATCAAATTTTATTTTCATAGATTGCTACAGAACTCAAGGCCGTGGCTTGACATTCTAAGATGTACCCATTGCCTAGGCTTGATTATTGGTGAAAATGTCAATCGCTGAATCGTTGAGGTTAGTAACTGCAAAAACCAAGAGACCAACCCCGACGTACCTGCTTGCACTGTCGTGATCTTCTCGGCTTCCTCGTCCGGAATTTCAGTATCGAATTCCTAGCGTTGGGCAAGTAAATAAAGGAAAGAAGGTAGCAGTGCCTCGCTGTAATACCGACCTCTTCCGATCATTGTTCAAGTGGAGAGCATCGTGAAGGTATTTTGGTAGGACGCTGGTCACCGACATCGGCGATGTCAACGGTGTCATCAACGTTGGTGATGGCATCAATCGATGCCGAAGACTGCCCGGGATGGCCCGGGAGGGCTCTAGGGGAGTTTGAGAATGATATGGGGGGTGGATGAAGCAGTCTGACATGTTCATGTGTGGTGGGGAAGGTGAGTGTAAATGGGCACAAGCACAAGTTAATCCACGCGCAAGTTAAACAAGTTAACCCAGCCAAATTTAAACTCCGCCTGGTGCGCAAGTTGATCTGCCAAGTCAATCGGCTAACCCTCCGAACTTCCCCTTGTACAAATTGTGCGCCCTCCTATAGTCATTCCATTGAGACCTTGAAGCCAATGACGAAGTCCGGATTTGGCTGGACGTCTTCCCTCACGATGCTCCGCTATGGCAGCGAGAAATTTGCGAAGTGCCGCCAGATCCACCAGACATATGATGATATATCTTGGCAGACAGAGATGTATGGCCTTCAACCCGGTGCAAATCCGTGAGGCGCGCACGCTTGTGCGGAATCTGTATGCCAGCCAACCAGCACAGTACGAGAGCTACCTAAGCAGGTGCGCACCCTCGAGAGTGGTCCTGACGTGACGATATCCGACGAGGCCTAGATTTGCGACGGGAATAATCACACAAGTCGTCGCCGGCCACACAATCGCTTCAAGCGACGATCCGTACCTCCGGATGTCCAGCATGGTGCTGGAATCGCTGTCCCGCGCGGGGGCGAGTCCAGGAGGCACAGCAATTGACTTTTTCCCCTTCCGTGCGTAGCACACGCAAATAGCTGTCAATTATCTAATTGTATTGTGATCCCGCATCCAGTGCAACACTTCCCCCGCTGGTTCCCCGGCACGCACTACGCTGGCGTTGCCATCCAATGGCGACCGACCGTCCGGGAGCTCTATGAATTCCCCCTGTAAACTGTCCGGGCGCAGAGGGTGCGTTATCCACTCATCGCATACGTACAACTCGTTACCAACGGGTATGTCTTGATAGGAGACCGGACAAGCCAAACCCTCCTTCCTCCTCGAGCAACTGGAAGAAATGGAAACGTGGGATTCGGTGACTGATGAAGACCAGGAGGATCTGAAGGGCAACGCATCGACTAGGTTCACCGCAGGAGAAACCACAGTAATCCGTCGTTCTTGTGCCAGCCTAAAGATTACTGATATGCAGCCCCACAGACCTGGAGCACGCTATCGGTCTTCGTGCTCGCTATGGTGCTGAATCCCGAGTGCCAATTGCGCGCCCGGGAGGAGATTGATTCCGTCATCGGCACTGCGCGCTTGCCTGAGTTCGGAGATCGGGGGAATCTCCCATATGTGGAAGCTATAGTGCAGGAGACATTCAGGTGAGCTTGACGATATGGTACTGTAGTCAAAAAAGGAAAACATCCATAGATGGAACCCTGGAGTCCCCTTCGGTAAGTACGCGCGCGGCGATTCGACTACGAAACTACCTGACTACACACGCCTCAGGTCTCCCACATCGTTCTATGGAAGATGATACTTATCGGGGTCTGTTCATCCCCGCCGGCTCGCTCGTCCTCGCCAACATCAGGTATACACCACGAACCTCACCTCCTAGGGCTAATACATCTGCACAGGGGAATGACCCTCGACGAAACCATCTACTCAAACCCAACTAACTTCCACCCCGACCGCTTTCTCCCGAAGCCACTTGGGGGCGGTGAACCCCCCTTCCCCGGGAAATTCGGGTTTGGCCGCAGGTACGGGAAATACACCCATCATCTAATCCCTTTCTGAGCATACGCAGAGTCTGCACTGGCCAATACCTCGCAGAGAACAGCGTGTGGATCGCGATCGCGACCATCCTGGCGACTTGCAAAATAATCAATGCCGTCGACGAACACGGGGAGATCATCGACCCTGAAAACGAGATGAGCTACGGGCTTACGAGGTGCGCGCACGACACAGATGATGGACTGGAGCGCCATTTAAAAACTTGTCTGTAGCCACCCCAAGGACTTCCGATGTGTCATCATCCCGAGGAATGCGCAAGTGGAAGCACTGGTCGCTGGAGCGCTCGAGTTTTGATCTCAAGGGCAATCTTTGGATTTGACCCAAGCTTGGCTGAAGCACGCCTTGCAATTGAACCGGAAATTCGGGATAAATAACTCTATAACGCAGTCGAAAAAATCATTCAGGTATCCTGTCTGCACTCGGATTCTAAACCATATGAATTCTTTGAAACTCGCGAGTGTTCAGATCCGGTGAGGCTCCTCGAGGCTGAGCGGATGATTATGAAAGTGGCATCATTGTGTTCGGCCAGGTGAGCAGTCAATTATCTCTCCTACCCGAGTCGTTTTCTTCGGACGCGATCCGAGTCTTACTCGGCGCAAGGAAGCTTTGCTGATATTTCCTCGCGGCCGATCGTGCATGTGCCCCTTGTAGAATAACCGCGTAGATATTGGTAGACGTTAAGATAAGAATCGTATTGCATCACATATATTGAATACGCGACTATGTATGTCACATGGGGCCGATAATAGAAGTCAAGTTACATTGTGGTCGTGAACGGACCGAGGTTATCCCAGCCTTTCATGTTAAAGGACTGCTTCATTTCTCGATGATGGTGATGAACTCGGCCGGGAAGAAAGTAAAATCTTCGGCGGTCGTGAGATGCTCGAGGGCAGCGGCGAGGAGCTTGCGGTACCCCGGGTCGGTGAGTGTCTGAGACATATCAGCTCAGTATTGTATTGCATTTGAAGGCGACAGTTCGCAGATTTCGACGTACCTGGCGCAGCTTCTCGTGAGACTCTGCTTCGGCCAGTATCATCACGGAGAGATCCGTCTCGTGCAAGCCGAGGGCGTTGGCTAAGGTACCAGCGCCAGTTTCGGCTTTGAATGACTACATGCCGGTGAGCCATTGAATATGTGCGTCGGCGGCAAATAAATGGACCGCACCACTTCATATTTGAGGAGGTTCTGCTGCAGTATGGGCAGCGCTTTCACGGTCTCCACCATTCTGGCGGCGCGATCGTTGAGCTTGTCCGACGTGGTCCCCGCTCGGGCTTTGAAGATTCCTATGGCGCGGACACGGTCTGTTCGGACGGACATGGCTGAATGAAAGGTGGAAGTGGGCAGAGTAGTCGAAATGAGGGGTTGGATGTTGAAATTTCATGTACGCACCCGTGAATATTTATAGGGGCTAGGACAGGCGTGGCATAAGCATCCATATCCATGTGGATGGCTATAAATTTAGCAGCGGATTTACGAGTGGGGGCATTGGGACGTTGCGTAGAGATTTATATAGGATACGCATTACGACACACACTGCACTGCGAAGCATACAACAGCCAAGGTGTGCTACCTCGATACAG